TTCCTGCATTTGCTTGGTATTTGTTTTGCTTTTAATGAAATATCTTGAAATTTCACTTGAAACTACAATATTAAGGAATACTTCTTTTTGTTGTTATCCTAACAAATTTGTAAAATGGAAATCGAAGTACAACATCTAAGAAAATTAAACGGATATGTTATACATGCTAACAGTTACTTTAATAAAAGTCCTGTCAGTACTTTTATTATATTCTTAATTGTTTGTGAACAGCTGATTTAGGCTGTAATAACTACAGCTTGTAAGAAATCAAAGGAATTTCATAAATGCCTCAAAAGTGGAATTGCTGTCACAACTATGGAAAACACGCTAAACAAAATGAATTAACAAAGCATACCATCAATGCAAAAATTTTCATGCTCAACGATTCTTTAACAACAAAGCAAATACATAAAAGATATCCAATTAAATAGCATGAAATTATCTGAAAAATATCTAAAAAATTGCATGTTTTATACAGTTTTTAGATTTCAGTTTGATAAACAGCTGTGTGCTTCCTTCGGGGACAAACTCTGATACAGGATTTGAGTTACAGGAGGGTCTGATAAAAATCAAACTCAAATTGCTTTCATCCGCCAAAGTTAATTATTGCCAATCACTGCTCTTGACAATTTAATTGAGGATGCAGACTGTCGGTGTCAAGAATGTACTACAGCCGAAGGAGACTATATCCCATACTGACTGTCGCTTTGAATGCGAAAGCCTGGGATCTGGATTTTTTTCACACTGTGTGGCGTTACGTATTGTATCATAGTTCTGTAATTTACGCTATGCAAACTGTTGTATTAATTTGTCATTATTTGGTTAGCGAAATTTGAAGATAAGCTCATCTCACTGTTCCATGCTTAACTCTTGGGTAGGAACATAGCTCTTTTAACAATTTTAAATGCTAGCATATTTTTTTTAACTTATAAGCAAAAACATAGTACAAAAATTTACCAAGCTCTTGATAAAGTCCTCTTGTTAATTAAGGATTAGAAATTTTTAACAGGTTTTCCAAATTCAATTCTTTTTCTTAACTAGAACAGAAAAAATTTAGTTTAAAATTTGAGGCTGATATATTTTTTAGATGTTTTTAATACGATTATATAAATAATTTAATAAGCGTTTTATTGCATGTAAAATAACAACTGACATTGCACTTACAAGTGATGTCGAATTTCATTTCAAATTAGTTGAGTTAAACATATCAAAATTTGTCAGAAAATTATTAAATAGAGTTCAATCTGTAAATAATGCTTCAGCAAGTTTTCCTAGGTTCTGTAATTTTCAAAATATGCTATGCTGGCAGTTATGAAGACTTCTTTTATAATGCAATGTATAGTACAGCAATATATAATGCGATTATAATATCAGAACTATGTATCTGCTAGAAATCCCGCTGATTGCCTATCTTAGGACCGCAGGATCGTATTTAATATTTAATGCAGTTAATCTCACTTGTTCAACAGTAAAAAACACAACGAAATTATTTACAGTTTGCCAAAGATGTTTCTACAGTCTTTAACATTTTTTTCGGAGGTGAAATTAAAGAAAAATGCTATTTCTGAGCCTTAAGTTCAGAAGACACATAGTTCATGCCGAAATTAATTGAGGTTTTATAGAATGGCCATGTATTTTAAGTGTAAGATTATAAGATATTTTCTTCCTCCTTCTACCATGCCTTCGTGTTGTAACAGTAGCACCCTCGACGCGTATTCGAGAGGTCCAGGTTCCAGGTTCAAGTCCTGGTGGCAGTATTACACATTTTCACCTCTCCTGCTTAGTTATCTAATGACTCTGCAGTGGCGTCCGAACTAAAGGGTGGTGGACGATGATTCTTCACCACCAGGATTTGGCGATTGGGTTCCCTAATCCGCAGTCGCCCTTTAAAAGGGGGAGTATATCAGTTATTTTCTCCCTCCTTTCTGCATGCCTTCGTGGTGTAACAGCAGCACACTCGGTGCGTATTCGAGAGGTCCAGGTTCGAGTACCGGCGAGGGCACTGCTCATTTTCCAAGTCTCCAGCATCAACAAATCCTAATGTAGTCTACCGTGGCCCCCGAACTAAAAGGTGTTGGATGATAATTCGTCAGCACCGGGATTTGGCGACTGGGTCCCCAAATCCTCAGTCGCCCTTTAAAAGACGGAGTATGTAAGGTATTTTCTTCCTCCTTCTAGCATGCCCTCGTGTTGTAACGGTAGCACATTCGACACGTATTCGAGAGTTCCAGGTTCGAGTCCCGGTGACAGCATTGCACATTTTTACCTCTCCTGCTTCAAAATAACCTAATGACTCTATAAGGTTATGTGAATTAATTTTCAAATGTGACTTTAAAGTATAATATCTTTCTCTTCATAAAGCTTTTGATTTAAAATGCTTTCAAGAAGCAGTTTCTCATAATAATGAACGTTTAGTCGTGTATCTTTTCTTTGTTTGTTTAAAAGCGCAAAAATAACTGTCATATGAATATTATAAAAATTTTTTTGGCGTTAGAAAATGTCTTTTCGCCTTCAATTACATCAAGTTACAATAGCTGGGCATTTACCATCGACGTGGTTTGGCAACTTGTACTCTTAGAGGTGTAGCCATTCGACATGGTATAAGATCTTTAATTTATCGTTTAAATTACTACCCATTGCTTCATTAACTTAATGATTTAAAGTAATACAGGTATTTGTTAAAAATATGTGCATTTTTTGTGCTTTTAATAATGAGTCTGATTGATGAAATTTATCTAATTTATGCGATTTATAATATACCTAATAGGTAATCTTTATAAACATTTGCTCCATTATAACAAATAATAAAAACTGTGCCTTACTACTTCACACATTTCAGTACACAAATAATCATTAGCACGCTGTCTAACAACAGATTTTCCCACCTTCACAGAGATGCATAAATTAAAAAATTATACCAAAAAATGTTAAATGAGTATAATTTTATGTAGCGCAGTGTTACAGAAACGCATAAATTAACCACAAAATGCATTTCCTTTCCGAACTGAGTGGTACTTCATAGTTCATTGATCTTCATTTTAGCAAGCGATCATTCAATTTTCGCTTCCACCCAGAGATTTGTAGTACATTATTCTGCCACAAGATGGCAGTCTCTCCGGAAACGCTCATAAAAGTTACTTTTTGCCGCTAATACATTTTCACAGCTTGTCCTTGAAAATGCTATTTTCGCGGTTTAATTACGTGCAGGAAGCGCTTCACAACAGCAAAAACTTCGTTATATCGAAATATAATGTTTTATCAAAATAAATTTTTTACACGCAATGAATTTTACTCCTAATTAAGTACAGAACTCCCACGCGGCCATCGTTTAATTTTCTTCTCATTTGGATAATCTGTATCCTCTTAGTTAATAAAATAACAATGCCATAATTGTTTTGCATACTGTCTTGCATATACACAGAGGTATGACAATCAAAGCGTTTGGTTTTCGTTCTATGTTATAAATATAAAGGACATAACATATCCAACGGTTTTTATGCACTTCTTTCTTCCCCCCCCCTTTTTTTTTTAATTTTTTTATAGCTTGAAATTTTTTACTCGAGAATAGCTGATGAGCTCGTTAACAGTTTCAAATAAAAAAATTTCAGGTACAAAACAAGATATGTACTTGATGAGCCTTTCTGTCATAGCCAGAAATTCCTTGAATATCCATAGGAGAAGTTTATAATTGCATTCACTATCAAAAAACTTAACAGGATAGAATGTGACTAAAAAGAAGCTTTTCCATTAAAATATGAGCTAAAATTCTATCTGGAAAAGCTAAACCAGAAATGACTGAAGGTTTTAAAAAATTGTTGAAGGTTTTTAAGATCAGATTCAAATTAAATTTCCCACACATTAATTATTGTAAAACGTAAGCTCATTAATGGCCGAGCTGATGGAAACCTTTTATAGTGATAATTTTGCCCGCAATCTTATTCGCGGATAGTCGCATTGACAACACTGAAATTTCTGTTATTTATTCCATGCTCACCATTTCCTAAAAATTTCCATTTTCCTTCATGAAGGCCCACATAAGTAGGCAGCCGCATGTTCTTTGCCACAATCAGTTGTAATTTAACTCACTAAGGAACGTATTCTTGCACTGTAATTCTATAAAGACGTAATGTTTATCGGAGTAAGAAACGTGAAATATGAAATATACCCTCACCAGGATTCGAGTAAAGTTTTATCTTCCACTTGCTAGCTAAATGCCCTACTACACATAGAAAGCAAGTGCGGAGAAATGGGATCATTTCTTATACTCTCAACCGCTGGAAAGGTGATTGGGAGAGGCATATCAGATGCAGTCAGCAAATCAAGTAACGAAATACTGCCTCCCGAATTTTAGATCGGTATACAGTATTTCATCACTACCTGATTTGTTGACTTGTTTCATCACTGCCTGATTTGTAGACACTGTAAAGCATTATTAGAATTTTCGAAACCATTAAAAGTAAATTTGGGCATGCTACCACTTACACCACGAGATTAAACGTGAAGGAATACGATCATTCCTTACATTATTAACCATTTGAAGGGTGCTTGTGGAGAGACATCAGATCCAGTTAACCAAATCCAGGTGAATACGCGAATAAGCGACCACGACATTTCATTTCGGGCGTCACTATAGATTATGGGAGCTGAAAATGCGACTTATATCGGCTATGCTTCGAAAAGCTTCAAACCACGGATCTTCGAACTGCTAACTGGACGTCCTACTGGTTACACCACAACAGCATACAAGGAGAAATGCAATAATTCGCTATAATGTATCTGCTGACTTTTATGTTAGAATGTATTATCAAAAAAATTTCTATACTGATTATATCCATGTTTATGAAATTAGTGAATTAGTTACTTCAATAAAAAGTCTATGTGTTCCTCAGAGGATTATATCTGTATGATTTAAAATGAACTTCCTGGCTATAAGTGTTCGTATTTTCGAGATATAATCTATTTTATAACAATTTGTAAAATATCCATATGTTCGGTTTCAGGTTTGGGATGAAGAACTGGCAGCTGTGGCTCAAAAGCATGCAGACCAGTGCATCTTTCAACATGATTGCCCTGAATGCAGATCCGTGGGTAAGGTTTGGATTAATATTACTTTGTGTGTTTGTGTGTATGTGTGCGAAACAGAATTCATCAACTGCTAGTAGGATAAATTAATGCCAATCAGTAATCAATAAAAAGCTGCTGAAGAAAGTATCTTTTTATGACATTTTGAGAAACATGGTATTATCAGTAACCACTGAATATAAGGCAAGTACCATAAATTAAAATTTATATTAAAATTATAGAATTTAAGGCATAATGTTGGTGTAAGTGCTACTAATGCTCCACAGGTCACAGTAATAAAATGATAATTGGAAGAACAAGATATAAAAAATTGAAATGTGGGGAAATAATTGGATCATCAAGCCTTGCATTAAAGCACATTTTTATTATTTACACGGGGTATGGATGATTGCTTATACTGGATGTTTTAAGACAACAAAACAACACGCCATCTTAGAATCTTTTCCAACGGTCAAAATCTTGTCTTCTCCTTGCTGTCCACCCACAGAAATATAATTTTGTACACATCGTGGGGAAGAGAGAAGAAGTGATTTCGAAAGGAATGGCAAATAAGTACTCCCAGCCCAGTTAAAGGAAAGCAATTTATGAATGGAATTTAAGTGAGCCTGTTGTAAATATTGTAGCGTTTACTTTAAGCCACTTTTAAACTGGGAGTCGCGACCCCCAGGGGGTTTGCGGGACCTGCAGCAGGGGTTCGCCAAAAAATTTAGTAGTTTTGATATTTCTTTAACTTATTTAATTTTACAATTACCAATTATTTTTACACAATGTACCTGAACATACATAAAAATAAGACAATACACACAAAGAAAAAAGGAAAACTTTTCGACGCATTCTTTTTATAATAGAAACGTTCATTTTACTTGCTTTGCACGTGACGCTGTCATTTCGTCTGTCACTTATTTAAAAATTTTCACATTGTTCTATGTCTTAAATTTAGAAATTAAAGCTAATGACATAAAACTGCAATAGTATATTACAGTACAAGTGAAAAAATTGACAGTTTCACACACGCGTGTGTCGGATTTGCGTAATGCTTATGGGATCCTGCAAAATTTTCGTAAATATTATGGGGTCCTGGGGGCTGCGAAAAAATCTTAGTGATAAAAAGGGGGTCGCGACTGAAAAAAGTTTAAGAAACCCTTCCCTAGGCTATAAGAGGTAAGTCAGAAAATCATTATAAAAATCTCAGATTTATTAAGCAATACAAAAGCAATTTTTCGGGTTCAAATGATAAAAGCTCATCCAGAAAGTAAGTACCGTTTGGGTATTAAAAGAGATACTCAATTTGTTTTCATTTGTATTTTATTACAGAAAAATCTACACATCCTAAACTACTTTTCGACACATTCACCATGCGAATTAAGGTCTAATTCATCCAGTCCACTAACAAAATTCCTTGATAATCCCAAAATATAGTGTACATTAATTTTCTTGAAGAAAGAGGTGGCTTTGCTTTCTTGGGCTCCGGAAAACCAGAGAAAGTTATTTCGTTTCAGACATTTGGTGACAAATCCATGCTCCATCTGCCTGTTACAATCCTTCTAAAAACATTATTTCCTTCTGTAGCATAACGCTGCAACAATTTCAAGGCTAATCCCATTGCGTTTCCTTTTTTCAAAACCGTTACTGTTTTCGGTAGCCAACGTCAATACAGTTTTTTGTAGCTACAATTTCGTGTAATAAAGATCGTGAAATGTTTTGACAAATCAGAAATCGTGATTCGCGTATTGGAAAGAACTTTTGTCAATGCAGCGATTTCGTCGATTTATACGAAGCGATGAACTAGTTTGCCGTTTCTGGTCTAACTGAATTCGATGTTTTATGTTTTTAAATAAAACAACATTTCATAGCTTTCATCTGCATCTCTTTTTTCACGTTTCAATCTTTCCGAAATTTTATTTTAAAAAATTCTTTATGAAAATGTAGTAGTAATTTTTTTAAATATATTTTTATGTCGAAGGAACAAAACTAGATTTTTTTAAATATGTTGTTGTGTGTCAAAATCAATGATATTAGAATTAGTCAGAACAGTTTACCTTAAATCTTCCACAAAATATTCGAATTTATAAAACGCCATTTTATATTTCTTTCAAACTAAAAAATTCATTTTATTGTTTCACTATAAGTGACAGAACGCCAGAAAAAAAACGAAGTTCTAGCTTACCTTACATAACAATTCATGCCGACAAAGAATAAGAGAAACTAATGTACCAATTTGTTTAATCCATCTAAGTAATATGTGTCTGCCCAGAAATAACCATAAATGAAACCATATTCATAGTTCCCTAGCAAATTAAACACGGACACGAGAAGATAAACCTCAAAATAAGCACAAATTCATTGAAACCTTTTACGTAAAAAATAGAACAAAGACTAATAATAGGGTACATTTCATTTTCAAACACATATGCTCAGTCTCCGGACGCTATTCCAATGGGTCTTCGAGGGTCATGCTACAAAAAACTGTTTGTAGTTGCCTCGCCGTTATATGCTCAGTTAGCGGACGGAAAGCTTGTTATGGCAAAGTAGGAGCAGCATAAATTAATGTGAGACCAAGTAAAGAGGTACTAATCTCGGAAGTGTGATAGTTTTATGCAAGTTTAACGTACGCAGCTCGTTACATACTACTTCCAATAGTAAATTTTAATAGTTAGAAAACAATACATGCTCTTCTCCGAAACCTTTTCTCTTCTGACAATGAATTAATGTTATTAATTCTTGTTTTAAATCAGATTGATAGTTTTTAAAACAAAACTCTTTTTCATATTCATTGGTGTATTCCATGATTGAAAGTTACAATTATAATTTATTTTTTAAAATGAATTTTTAATTGGTTTGAGCTAATTTGACGCTTCTTCTATATTTTTCACCTGAAGCAAGTGCCTCACCCTTGTCTGAGCTCTGTCTGGGTCTTTATGGAACTTTTAAGAAGGGTGTTTAAATTCCCTTTAGACAACTTCGTCCTCTAATAATGACAGTGTGAACATCTGAGGCTATTTCAACACTAATAAAAGAGGAAGCGGATTTCAATATCCTTTGATACTTTGATACTTTTGATATGCCTGTTTCAGCAGGAATTATATCCCTCTATTGCAGGCACCTCAATGAACCCCGGTTAGAGGAGACATAACATACAGTGCTTCGCAGGAATACCTTGATAAGGGACTGCAGGAAGATTGTGTTGATGTGGCCCAGGCCAGTGTAAATGAAGAAGTCATACTTTGAAACTTCAAAAATTGGCTGGCGAAGTTGGAGGTATTATGGGGGATTCCGATAAATGTGGGTTGCATAGGGCCTAAATTGATGTCAATTTCTAGGAGCTCGTACTTAAATTGTCAGAATAATTTACCTCCGCGTTGGTGATGGCTTTCTGAAAATTATTATTTAATTTATTGATGAATAATGCCAGATTTTTGGAGTTTAGATCTCGTGTAGCTGTTCATTGCGAACGAAACAGGGGCTCCTGTGATTTTTCGTAAGTAGTTGTTTTGGAAACCTGCAATTTATTAATACCGAGGGGAACAGAGCACCGTGCAGGGGAGGCATATGTAAGGATGGGTCTTAATATTGATGTGTAAATGTGCTTCTTGCGAGCAGATCCAGTGGTGAGGAGGCGTCAAGAAAGTTTCGGAGCTTCTTAGAGACTCCTATGGCTTCCCGATGGGTCATGGAATGTGAGGACCCCATGTAACGAGCCGTTAAACGAACTCCAAGTATGTAGCCTCTCTGACTTTGGGCACCGTTTCATTAAAGAGGGTCAGATCTGCATCAGTGTTTTTTCTTCTATGCCGTCCTATCAGTAATAATTAGATTTTGTGGCATTAATGGATGTCCTCCATTTGCGACACCATTCCTCTATCTCATGTGTGTGGTTTTGTATTCTGGTTATGGCATGTCGTGGATTAAGTGAACTAGAAAGAATGGCGGTATCATCCACATAGCAAGCGGTGATGCAGTTTGTATTTTCAATCATAGGGAAGTTCTTAACATATATAAGATAAAGAATAGGCCCAAGGATGCTTCCCTGGGGAACGCCAGCTTTAATTAATGTGTTTTCAGAATAAACATCACCCTGCCTAACATAGAAAGATTGATCACTTAGAAAGGAGTGAAGAATCAAAATCATTTCCCTCGGGAGATCGAGGGAAGCAAGCTTGTAGATAAGTCCGTTATGCCAGACGCGGTCAAAGGCTTTTGCCACATCCAGCATAAAGAAAGCAGTTGTCTGGTGCTTATGAATAGCTGTGATTAAAAATTCAACGATTCTGACAAGCTGCATGATGGTAGACAACCCTTTATGGAAACCAAACTGCTGGTTTGGAAGCACGTTTAGGGCTGGCTGTAGTCTTCTGCAGATAATCCTATCTAGGATCTTTCCCAGTGCAGGAAGCAAGCTGATTGGGCGAAACCCATCCACTCTTGTATTATCTTTTCCGGGTTTGGGAATTAAGGTGACAACCGCTTGTTTCCACTCAGCTGGGAAATAGCATAGGTAAAGGCAGGCGTTGTAAATGCTACAGAGTTTGTTAATAAAATTACCAGGCAAATGTTTAATCATTGAATTAGAGATTTTTTCCTTTCCAGGTGCTTTTCTATTAGGAATTTTAGCTATAATAGAGCTAACTTCTGTGGGAGAGGTAAAAACAGGGAGATTTTTGACACTGGGCTGGTTAATCCAATTATCGACAAACATGTTAATATGACTAATGAAATTTCGGTCTGAAGGGGTCTCATTTGGAGTGAACTGCCTTGGCGAAGTGGATGGCAAAGGCTTTAGCTTTGTCTTCGTTGCTGTATTTGAATCCAGTGTCGTCCTGTAGAGGTTTGTTGCTTGTTTTTGTCGACTTCATTATACGGAGGGACTTCCAGAATTCTCCGTCTTCCGCATTTAATTTTTCAATTTTGTTATTCCAAAGTTTAGTCTGGTGGGAGTCAATTAATCTTTTAATATTGCGATTAAGTTTATTAATTTGCGATTTAATTGCTGGTTCACGTGAGTGGGC